GCAGAGGGCACGGCAGCCCCACGCAGGAGCTGCAGAGCCGCCCGCCGATCCCTTCCGCATCCTCCCGGGACAGTGCAAGGAGAAGGATTTTAGGGCTGCCCCACGATTTTTAACGCCTGTGACTGGATTTTCGTGAGCTGGGGACTGTGTCCGTGGGGTGAGAGTGACCACTGCGCATCCAAGTCCCTGTAACCTGTGCAGCTGGAAGAGTTTATCCCAAACACAGGATAACTAACGTGGAATTCCGTGAGCTGGTTCTCTCTTCCACAGTGTTGATATGCAGACTCACAATCTCTGAAACATCAATAACCAAATACATGAATAAATTAAACTTTAATTAAAACAATGCCACCAGACTGAGCAAACTTCCTTCTTTTATTGCTTTCTGTGCAGCAAAAGTTCCCCCTCCTTTTTTTCCCCCCCAAAAAAAACCACGAGTGTCTGTGTTGTAACTCCTGCCATGCCTTCCCAGAGCAGTTTGACGTCGGCTGCGTTTCCCAATCCCTGTATTTTTGCAGCTGCTGGTTCTCTCCATGACTTCATCCTCATTCTGCCCCTGAGCATCTTGCTCAGAGCACTGACGTGTTGTGACTCAAAGTGATGATATTTGATGCACGCAACCCAAAATCCAGTTCCTGGCTGCACAGACCTGGATCACATCTGTCCCATCTCCTACAACGGGGGGAGAGCAGAGAATTTCCATAAATAATTATGAATGCTGGCTCATTATTTGTGCATTGCTCAAAGCATCTCTACCTTCAGTGCAGCTTCCGTGTGACAGCAGTGGGGTTCCAGAGCCTGGTGTTTCAAATTATTGGGATCACAAAGTAATTCCACTGAGGAGTTTATTTGGGAAGTGATGGGTGGCTCTAGGCACACAGGTGATTTTAGTGATATAAAGACAAATAGGCTTAATCTGTCTTTTACATCCCTTTATTTTACAAGAGTGCAGGTGGAACTGCTGTGCCTGCAGGGCGGGTGGGTAACCTGGATGGAGGGAAGGGAAGGGAAGGGGAAGAAAAGCAAAGGAAGGGATGGGAAGGCCTGGGATGGGAAGGTAAAGAAGAGGAGGAAAAGGAAGTGATGGGAAGGCAAAGCAAGGGATGGGAAGTGAAGGCATGGAGAGGGAAAACAAGGGAAAGGGGAGAGCTGGGAAGGCATGGCAAGGCAAGAGAGTGGAAAACAAGGGAAAGAAAGGCAAGGGGTGGGGAGGAATGGGAAGGCAAAGTAAAGAAAGGCAAGGCAGGACAGAGGGCAGCTGAAGCAGCCTGGGCAGGTCTCCCAACCCCGTTCTGAGGACAGGATGGGAAGTTCCACCTGCCTTAGTATTTCCACACCTGCCACTCCTGGGCCCTCCCAGCCAGGAGATGAGCCCACAGGGTGCCCAGGATGAGCAGCCTGGTGCAGGAGGTCTCCTGGAAGAGCCCAAAGGCATCTCCACGCTGAACCTGGGAGCCCTTGGCAATTCTCCTGGTGTGAAGACAGAGTCCTGCAGCCTGCCCCATGTCTGGGCTGGGTGACAGCAATGGCCCTCCTGACACCAGGTCTCCTGATCTCCACACTCCAGGGAGTTTATCCCTGGCCCTCTACAGTGCAAGCAAGGGATTATCCTTGACAACACTTCCCTGCAGACCCACCGCTCTTTATGCTGTTTCACCAGCAGCTGCTGGATCCCTGCTCCCTGGGTGGTGTGCGGTGCTCATCTCTCTCGGGATGGCCTCTCCAGTGACTTCAGATGGGAGTTGCCAAGGTGGAAGCCTCAGAGCACTTGGAAAAGCCCTGGAAAGGGAAAGTGCTGGCTTTTGGGAAAGGGCTGCACACTCAAAACAGTCCTGGCAGTGTTCAGAGAATGCTGAAACCATCCACATAAAAGCCAATGTTTACGGGGACAAAACCAGCTCCTGAAGGCTGCATCCATGTCCCAGCCATGAGCTGGCTGTTGGAAGGTTCTGACTGCTGCTGGTGATGAGCAGGAAAAGAGAGGAGGAGCACAAGGAATGATATGATGTGCTGCCATGCAAACCCTCAGTCATGCAAGCCATGATCCCACATCGTATCCCATGGAGCATCCCCACAGCCACGGGGAATTTGGGAGAGTTTGGGCTACAGGAGGGGGGCTGGGGTGAGATTTTGTGGCAGGCAGCTCCACTCATGCCCGAGCATGGGCTGCAATTTGGGATAAGGAACAGGTTGCCTGGGGAACTTGTGGCTGCCCTGTCCCTGGAAGTGTCCAAGGCCAGGTTGGATGGGGCTTGGAGCCACCTGGGACAGTGGAAGTGTCCCTGCCCGAGGCAAGGGGTGAAGCTGGATGGGCTTTAAGGTCCCTTCTAATCCCAACCATTCCATGATTCTGTGATCTCAAGCACAGGCTTCCCTTTAACTCTCACGTTCACCAGGTGTTTTATTTTCCTGCCAGTCCCACTGCTCTTCCAGAAACCATCCATGAGTGCAAGCCAGAGCATCCTGCTGGGACAAGCCACTGGCAGCTGGATTTGGAGCAGAAGTGGACAGGTAAGGTCCAATTCCACTCTCTGTTGTGTGGTTTGCAGAAAGATGAGACAGGAGCCTTTGTACCCTTTCAGAGGGAGGATATTTGGGAGCCCCCAACCCTTTCAGAGGGAGGATACTTCCAGCTCACAAGAATGTCTGAGCCCTCTTGCTTTCTCACCCTGCAGGGACAGGACACCATCCCCCAGGAGAGGCTGTCCATAGCCCCATCCATAGCCCCATCCAGCCCCATCCAGGCCTTGGACACTTCCAGGGACAGCAGTTCCTTCCTGCCTTTCTCATGGTCCCTGTAAAATCTGTAACAAGAATGTCACTGCCAGACAGCAAAGTTGTGGCTTCTCCTGGTCTGGGACATGGGACTGGCGAAGATGGGAGTGTTCCCACTCTCTCCGGAGCCTTCAGGGCAGGATGGGAGCTGACAGGTATGGACACAGCACGATGAGCACCCCTCTGGGCCCGGGGGTTTCGGGGCTGGAGCTGGAGCAGAGGCTCCCTCTGCTCCCCCGGGCTGGGATTCAGCACTCTGTTGATTCAGAGCGACCCTGCCTGACTCACCCAGGAGCAGGGCTGAGCCTTTCCAAAGGAAAGCTCGCGTTAAACCCTGCCACAAGGCTCTGGCGACCATATGGAGCTGGGAGAGAGGTGGGGGCCAGCCCTGACCTTTATTGTAGGGAGGGCAGTGCCACTGACCCCGCTGCCTGCCCCCCGGGGTGGCTGTTCCCAGGCCACTCAGGTTGTTCCACAGGGCTCGCTGCTAAATAAGACAATTAAATCCTTGAGCCCAGGTTTTAGTGTTTCCATGTGCAGCCAAGTATCTTAATCTGGGCTGTTTGTGGAATTTTTATCCCGTGGATCCCTTGGTATGCCTGGAATGTTTGCTTTTCCTACTGTGTGCGTGTGTTTGAGGCACTCCTGTAAAAACAAGAGCTTCCTGCCTGCCTTGTAAATCTCTCCTTGATTGGCAGAGTGGCCTTTGGTGATTAATCAAGGGGCACGACGAGCTGACGCCCTCCAGGAGCTCGCTCCTTGCAAATCCCCGGCACGGTGGTGGGAGACCTGGGAAGGGACCCCGGGAGCTGGCTGCTCTCCAGAGCCGTGTGGTGACATCGGTTTTCGGTAAGAGCCTGGGAGAGGAAGGACTAAACGGAAATTCCAGAGAGCTAAGGAAATGCTCCAGAGGGCCGGGACTTCAGAGGCATTTTCTATTGTATCATCGGGATAAAACACGCGGCTCCGCTTGGAGGGATTCGCTCCGTGGACAACCAAACCTTCCCACCTCGGCTGGGCTGGGAAGGGGGACGTTTATTCCAACCAAACCTTCCCACCTCGGCTGGGCTGGGAAGGGGGACGTTTATTCCAACCAAACCTTCCCACCTCGGCTGGGCTGGGAAGGGGGACGTTTATTCCAACCAAACCTTCCCACCTCGGCTGGGCTGGGAAGGGGGAAATTTGTTCCAACCAAGCCTTTCCACCTTGGCTGTGCTGGAAAGGAGGAGATTTGTTCCAACCAAACCTTCCCACCTTGGTTGTGCTGAGAAGGAGGACATTTATTCCAATCAAACCTTCCCTGTCTTGTCTTGTCTGGGAAGGAGGAGATTTGCCCCAGCCAAACCTTCTCACCTCGTCTGGGCTGGGAAGGAGATTTGTCCCAACCAAGCCTTCCCACCTTGGTTGTGCTGAGAAGGACATTTATTCCAGCCAAGTCTTCCAATCTTGGTTGGGCTGGAAGGGGGAAGGTTCACCCCCACCATGGATAGAGGTTTCTCCAGGAGATGGACACTGCTAGACGAGGCTGCAGAGAAGAACCACCTTGTTGGTGTTCCTGGGTTTCTCCATGTTCCCATTGGAGGCTTCCAGGTGTCACAGGCTCTGCCCGGATGTGGCTCAGGGGTTCCAAGTTAGCTCTAAGCCCCAGAACAGCAAAAACTGCTCCAGCATCTTGGCCAAAGGTCTCTAATTTGTCCCAATTAGCTGCTGTTCCAACCCTGAGCTTGCCTGGAGCTGGCTGTGGGGATCCTGAACTGCTGTTGTGTTGTGCAGGCCACACATGGGGCTGTCCCCATGTCCCCATGATCCCAGAAGGGTCTCAGCTTGGGGAAAAAGCTGGCAGAGCTGCAGGCTGCCAGCCCTAGGGCCAGCCCCAAACTCATTGCTGTAAGCAAGGAGACCTTCAGAGCTTGTGGAAACTTGCCATGGGAGAGGGCAGTACTTGGCATTTTAGAGAAAATTGTGAGATTTAGCAGGAAGTTTTTTACAATGAGGGTGTTAAACCACTGGCACAGGTTGTCCAGAGAAACTGTGGTTGCCCCATCTCTAGAAGTGTTCCAGGCCAGGCTGGATGGAGCTTGGAGCAATCTGGGATAGTGGGAGCTGTCCCTGCCCATGGCAGAGAATTGGATTGGGTGACCCTTAGAGGTCTCTTCCAACCCAAACCACTCTGTCATTTTCAGGTTCTGGTCTTCCCACTTTTCCCCTTGGCTTTTGCCCACTGCTAGAGGCAGGATCTGTGCCAGGACAGGGCCAGGATGAGGAGCTCCAGGAACAGAGCACTGTGAGCAGGCAGCCAAGGAGGGTCTGTCCCAGCTGAGCATGGGAGGAGGGACAGGTGGGAAGGAGCACTCAGGACACACAGGAGCACTCAGGACACACAGGAGGGCTCAGGACACATTGGCTGGCTGCTCCCTGGACCAAAGGCAGATGATCTTTAAGGTCCCTTCCAACCCAAGGCATTCTGTGATTCTGTGAAGGAGCATTTCAGCCAGGCACGGCAGTGCCAGTGTGGGCAGAGCCCTGCAGCCTCTCCCTGCTCCTGGACAAACTGCTCCTGAGGCCCTGCCTGTTTGTCCTGCTGATATCAGAGGCGCTGATGATGGGTCCCTCTGGAGCCTGTCTCTCCACATCTGCCAGTCCACCCCTGCTCCATCTTTCCCAGGCAGTGCTGGGTTTGGAGCTGCTGCTCCACCCCCTCCATTACACCATCTGTGCTCCCTCCATGCACCTGCCAGAGGATGCTCTTTGCTGTGCCCTCTCCACACCTGTCCCGAGGCCACTCCAGCCTCCCTCCCAGCCATCATCAATAGCAGCCCAAAAACCCATGGCAAGAGGGTCAGGGGTGTTTCCCAGGCATTTTGTGTCCCCAGGTAACGAGCCCTGTAGCCACCCAGCCCTGTTAGCTGTGACCACCCTGGTGACAACCCCAGTGCCATGGTGCCAGGGGGTGTTCAGTGCCATCAAGGTCATCTCCACCTTGTTCCCTGGTGTTCTCACCACCACACAGCTCCCAGCATGGCTCTGGCGTTTGGATGCAGGCTGGCAATGACCCCAGAGGTGATGCAGAGCTGCTCTGTCCCACTCTGTTCCACTCTGTGTGGCCTCCAAGCCCCTCTAATTCATCACCAGAGTGCCTGGAAGGCCCCAGCACTGGTAGGAGCCCAAGGGAGCAGGCAGCAGGCGGGTGAAGCAGCAAGACAGTGACAATTCCTGCTGCCTTTGGGATCCTGGGATGAAGAACAACCCCTGCTCAATGCTGTCCTTCCCCTTTCTTGTGTCACCCAGCACTGGGGACAACCTGCCTTTAAATGTCATCACTGGGCACTGCAGTGAGCAGCCCTTTTCTCTCTCCTCAGCCTCTCCTCGGCTAGGGTTGCTCTTCCAGCATGGATATTTCTCACTTATTCTGTGTTTGGGAACAAGAGGCTGAGCTGATTTTGCCCGGGCTGCATCCCTGTCAGGTTTTCCTCACAGCCAGCAAGATGTGAAATTCCTCAGGGAACCAGATGTGTGTGCTTATTTTCATCCCTGCAGAGCAACAGGGACCGGGGTGTCTGGCATTCCCCTGCCCCTCGGGGTTCTGCCCCCTCCTTTTGCAAGGGGTGGCTCCAAACTGGGGTGCAGATCTCTCACACGGCCCTGGGGAGGGGGCACAGACCCACCCATCCACCTGGATGTGCTCCAGGGTCAAGTGGGCAAACGTGGCCAGTGAGGAGGTGCTGCTGGTGGCCACCTGCCTGTGACACTTGCCCGGTGTCTCTGTGTCACCCCACGTCCCCACCGAGCTCCGGGACAGGGGCTGGAGCCTCCCTTTCCCAGAGCCACGGGAGGTTCCCTGCCAGGTGGGCAGGAAATCACACCCAGCACTTTGAATTTCTCAGGAAAAAGAGAAAATTCCTCAAAGGCAGCAAAACGACAGGGGGCTTTGCTATGGAAATTCAGAGCTGTGTCCCCTGGGGCTGGTGGCTCCTGGGACCTCGCTGGGCTTCACCTTTGTCCCTGCTGGCATCTCCTCAGCATTCCCTGGACTGGGTCCCACTGGTGCTGGCAGGTCAGGAACAAACCCCTCGCAGGAAACAGGGAAATAAAGGAAAGCAGAAAAGAACAATTTAACATCCAGGAATGGAAATGACTCAGGGGCATTAAAATGCAGGGAAGATGAGAAAGAGGAGGGTCCTGGCCCTGTTTTCAGCCACATTTTTCCCCTCTCAAAATTCCTAAGAAGGGACTTTGTGAAGATGCCTGTGGCTTCACCTCCCTGAGTGTTTGATTGATGAAGAACTGTGGCAGGAGCTCCTGGGAGTGGGGATGTGCCCTGGGTTAGCTATATGGGATCTATAGATCAGCTGTAGAAGAGGAGAGAACCCAGGAGAAAGGGGGGGGCGGAGGGGGGGGGAGCAGGAGCAGTCCAACTTTTTGTGATCCTTGCCTGGGGCAGATCCAGCATCCCCTGAGAAAAGGGGAATCTCAGGGGTCTGACTCTGGGAGAGACACTGAGCTGTGGGGGAGCTGGCTGTCCCCAGTGATGGGACAGTGCTGGATTCTTGTCTTGGGGATGGCTCTGTCAGATGGGATCAGTCCTGCCCCTCATTGCTCCAGCTCTGTCCCCACTGAGACTACCAAGGTTTTCCCTGGGTGGAGAGGGATCTTCCCATTCCTTCCTCCACTGAGGAAGAGCCATATCAGCAACAGGAGTGAGGGAATTTGCACAACCAGGAGCATCCCAATCCCACCCATGTCCTCCCCAGTCACACTGAGGTGTGTTCCCTGCTGGAGTTTTGGGAATGGAATTCACCCTGTTGCACAGCAGCACCCCAGGTCACACATTCCCGGAGGGGATCAGACCTGGGACACCCCAAAATGATGCAGATTTCAGAGAGAGGACAGGGAAGACGAGCTGGCCTCAGGCCTGGCAGCTTGTGGGGGTATCTCCATGAGGATAGGATCCCTCTGCCTGGGATGGTGGGAGCAGGGGAAGGGCTGGGGTGCTGCCTTGGCTCCCTGCCTGTGGGGTGCAGTTCCCTTTGGGGGCAGCCTGGGGAATCCTGGCACTGGGAAACAGCACTTGTGCAATTCCTTGAACTCCAACTCCTGGTTGCACTCTGAATCCAGAGTCTGGGACAGAAGCAGGTACCTGGAGGAATCTTTATCAGGAAAATTGCCATGGAGAGGTTTGAGGGGTTCAGCATGGTCACGGGACGCTGTCACTGGTCACGGGATGCTGTCACCACTGTCACCATCTCCCCAGGAGATGTGCTGAGGCTGCAAACCTCCTCTCCATCCCAGGCACCTTCCTCTGCCCACAATGCCCCAGTTTTCCAGGCTCAGCACGGCTGAGGGCTGAGGCATTTTGGGAGCCTGAAGACAGCCGAGGTGACCTCATCCCACGAGTATTTTCTTGGCTCCCTCTCCCCGCTCCAACGCCTCGGCGATAAGGCTGGGCTGAGGTCAGTGGGAGGGTTTGGCATTGCGGAGCCGTGTGTCACCCCACGGAGCCTGGGACGCGCCACCGGAGCCTGGGACACGGCACCTGCGCTTCCCTGGCTCCAGCCACGTCCCCGAGGCCCTGCCCCATCCCTCAGGATGCTCCACCTGGGAAGAGGGTCCCTGCAGGCAGCCAAAAGCGTCCCCACCACTGCCCCCAGGTCCAGCTGCTGTTTCACCTTCTCCTGGGGAAAACAAAAAGGCTGAGGATTTTCTTACCTCCAGTATTAGAAAGAAGGAGAGGAAACTCTTCAGATCACTTTCCAAAGGGGTGTTATCAGCCCAGGAGGGGTTTCCTGCTGCCAGAAATAGAGCAGTGTTAAGATAGGAAGGGAAGCAGGATGACACAGCCATAGATAAGGTGGGAGGGATGAGCTAGGAGAGGAGCCCTGGGTGCTGGGGGAGCTGGGCTGCTCCCTTGGAGCTCAGGTGGAGCCCCGTCCACGTGGGAAAGAGCAAGGCAGAGCCACAGCTGGCTCCTTTCAGAAGTGTTGCTGCTGGGCTTGGTGTGTTGGAGTGGTCCATCATCCATCCATCCATCCATGCATGCATCCGTTTGATCCATAGAATCACACACTGGTTTGGGTTAAAAAGGACCTTAAAGCTCATCTTGTTCCACTGTGTGCCTGGGGAAGGGATATCTTCCACTAGACCACATTGCTCCAAGTCCTGTCCAACCTGTGCATCCATCCATCCATCCATCCATCCATCCATCCATCCATCCCTCCATCCTGTGGTGCTGGGCCTGGCCCAGTGTTTCCAGACTCTGCACGTGCCTGGGACAAATGCCATGCTCTCGTCTCCTCCCCACACAAAAACCAGACCCTCACTGGGGCTTCAGGGTGCCAATTCCCACATTTCAACCTTCATCCATGAGGATTTGACTTGTCACTAGGAAAACCAGGTTGGAAAATCTGTTTCTTGAGCTTCCACATGGTCCTCTTCCTCCAAGCACTGACTCCATCTCTCTGCATTTTCTTTCCATGCTCCCTTGCCTTTGAGTCTGGTACCTGCTACACATTGGAGATTTATTTTTCCCCCCAGTTTTTGGGATACAACCCAGAAGTAGTGAGCTGTGCCTGCAGCCCTGCACCTGCTATTGCACCCTGGGTGCCTCGGGGGTGATACCAGCACGGGATGGAGCAGAAAAACAAGGAGATGAGGCTGGAGACCCCCATGTCCCCCTCCCCAGATCAGTCTCCCGGCTCTGTGCCAGTCAGAAGATGCCGAGTTCCCTCAAAAGAATGGGAGTTTAATGTCCCGGAGCTAATAAGCAATTTTCCCCTGCACCTGCCTCTCCCCGCCGCCTCCCCTCCGGCCATCTGCCGTCTCGGGGCCTCTGGACTCTGCACCGGCAGCCTGGGGCACCCGGGGCTGAGACAGGGCTGGTGTTTCACTGCTTTGGGGCTGGGGGGGCTGAGATGGGGCTGGTGTTTCACTGCTTTGGGGGTGGGGATGCTGAGATGTGGCTGGTGTTTTAGTGCTTTGGGGCTGGGGGTGCTGAGATGGGGCTGGGGTTTCACTGCTTTGGGGCTGGGGGTGATGAGGCAGGGCTGGTGTTTCACTGCTTTGGGGCTGGGGGTGCACAGTGTCCCCTCAGAGAGGAGCCGGGGTGCTTTGAAGGGGGAGCTCAGCCCCTGATGGTTTCCTCCATCCCTGTGTCCCCCCAGGGAGGTGGGTAGCAGAGCCCAAAAGTGGAAACTGAGGCTGGGAGAGCAGCAGGGAACACGCAAAGGTGCCGAGCCAGACACGAGCTGGCAGGAATTGCTGCATCCACAGGGAGCTGGCATCCCCAGCCAGAGGGGTGTGAGGATGCAGGACATAAGGAGAGAGGAATGCAAGGAGAGGGATGTGAAGAGGGGATGCAAGGAGGGGGAAGGTGAGGAGGGGGGATGTGAGATGGGGGATGCAAGAAGTGGGATGTGAAATACGAAGAGTGGGACATAAGGAGGGGGATGTGAGGAGGGGGATGTGAGGAGGAAGACTCGAGGAGGAATGTGAGGTGGGGAATGAGAGGACAGGGGTGTGAGGGGGGGGGATGTGAAGGGGGGGATGTGAGAAGAAGGATGCAAGGAGAGGGACACCAGGAAGGGGGATGAGAGGAGGGGGGATGCGAGGACGCAGAATGCGAGGCAGGGGGGATGCGCAGAGGGGGAATGTAAGGAGGGGGATGCGAGAAGGGGGGGCCCGAGGGGGCAGAGCAGATGGGGCCGGCAGGCTCGGGGTTGCCCCGGCCCCGCAGACAAAGGCCGGGGCAGATTTACGGCCCGGGACAGCTGGCGGGCAGAGCCGCCCCCCCGGCCGCAGCTGCCGCTCCCGCTCCCGGCCGCGCTCCTGCGCCGGCGGCGGCCCCGGGGCGGAGCGGGGCGGGACCGGCCCCACATTCCGGGCATAGCAAAGCCCGGCCCGGCCCCCGCGGCCCCGGGACGCTCAGAACTGCAGCAGCACCGCTCCGCTTCGCCATGCCCCGGTGAGTTCCGCCGCCGGGACCCCCCGACCGGCACCGGGGACCCCCCCGGCGCCGGGAATTCCCTCGCACCGGGACCCCTCTGATCGGCACCGGGACCCCCCCGACCGGGATCGGGAATTCCCCGGTACTGGCCTCCCCCTCTTCCTCCTCCCCGCCGACACAGGGAACCCCTTAGCACTGGGACGCCCCCGACAGGGATCGGGACCCCCGACCGGGATCGGGACCGGCACTGGACCCCCCCGGCACGGGGATGGCCCTTGGGGAAAGGACGCTCCCCCGGCACCGGGAATTCCCCAGCAGGGATCGGGACCTCCCTCGGCATCGGGACCCACCCGGACCAGCAATCCCGGGACCGAGACCTCCTTGGACCGAGATCCTCCCGGCTGGGACTGGGACTCTTCGACCGGGATCGAACGCCCCTGGCCCTAGGAAGCCCCCAGCCGGGACTGGGATCCCTCCACGGGAAAAGGACGCCCCCCAGAACCGGGACCCTTCTCTCTGGGACCGGGACTCGCGCCCCCCTTCCCCCTCGGCACCTGGACCCTCCAGGGGCAAAGACCCTCTCCCATGCCAGATCCACCTCCAGGGACTAGGAACCCTCCTGGGATCCTCCCAAACGCGACCGCAACATCCCCACGGCACCTAGAGCCCCCGCCCCACGGAAAAATCCCAGGACCCTCACCGGGACACCTCTGCAAGTCCAAGACCTCCGGGTCCGTGGATGGGAGGGGTCCTATCCATCTCCCGGTGGCTCTGTGCCCGGTCCCGTGGGGCCGCTTTATCCCCCGCTCCCGGGCCAGTGCCAGTCCCGGCTCCATGGGGCTCCAGCTCCGGAGCCAGCCCCAGGTGGCCGCAGGAACCGCGGCCCCGGGCGCGCTGAGTGCCGGGGCTCGGCCACCCCGCTGCGGAGGCTGCTCCGCTCTCCCGCTGCCGCCACGGGCTCCCACCCCTCCGGCACGTCCGGGCCAGATTCCTGGCAAACAATCCCGTGTCCATCAGGATCCGGAGCGTCCTACCCCGACTGCTTCCCAACAATCCCGTTTCTCCCTCCCGCAGGTGTCTCGGCGTGCCCAGTCGCTGTTGAGGTCCCCCGGGACGCCCTTCTCGGGTGGAAACGTGGCTCTGCCGCCGGCACGGACGGACATGAGGACGGCGGAGGACTCGAACGGGACGGTGCTGCACCGCCTGATCCAGGAGCAGCTGCGCTATGGCAATCTCACGGAGAACCGCACTCTGCTGGCCATCCAGCAGCAGGCCCTGCGCGGCGGCGGCGCCGGGAGCCCCCGCTCCTCCCTGGAGAGCCTCAGCCCGGAGGAGAGCCAGATGGTGCAGCAATCCACGCGGCAGGAGCCGCAGGGCCAGGAGCATCACTCCGACCACGTCTACCTGGAGAACAGCGTCTATCGGCTCTGCCCGCCCAAGGGCGAGGAGCTGCCCACCTACGAGGAGGCCAAGGCGCATTCGCAGCTCTTGGCCTCGCAGCGGGGCGCGGCGATGCGGGCTGAGCACGCCCCGCGCGGGGCCGAGAGCGGCGCCCGGCGCCCCGACCAGGGGCTCAGGGAGCTGAAGCACGGCCACGTGCGCTCGCTCAGCGAGCGGCTCATGCGGATGTCGCTGGAGCGCAACGGGGCCAAGGCGCAGAGCCCCATCAGCGCTTCCCACAGCTTCCCGCAGCTCTCCCGGCAGCTCGGCCCCCTGCGCGGGCAGCACCCCGAGGGCACGGAGCCGCGGGGACCGCCCCCGGAGTATCCCTACGTCATCCCTTCCCAGGACGCTTACCTGGCTGAACCCCGACCCTGCTCCCGGGAAGGTGCTGGATTTCAGCATCCTGAGATCAGGTAAAGTGTGGCCCCTGGGCTCTGCTTTTGGATGCCTCCCAGGAATGTCCAGGACGGATGCTTGGAACTTGCAGGATGTGAAGGGCAGTGGGGGCCCAGAGCAGCTGCTTTTGTCCTCACTGGCCCGGGCCGTGGGGGTCTGCTGGGAGCCCCCCACTCTGCTCCTGTCCCCAGCTCCCCCAGTATGGCTGGGCTTTTCCAACCAGTGAAGAAAATCCCATTCCCACAGCAGACCCTGCCTCTGCCCCAGGCACCAGGAGGGAGCTGGGGGTAACTTAGGGGATAATCTAGGAGCTGGAAGCAGTCCAGGAAACAGCTAAATGTGGAATAGGTATGGGGCAGGGTGGAAGACAGATATGCTCCCCGCTCCACAGAAACCCATGCCTGAGCTGGGAATGTCCATGTAACTTGGAATTGCTGCTGAGCAGAGCCTGGGCTGGTGCCAGGTGGTCTGTAGTCCCTTTGGCAGCTCGGTGCCTGTGGCAAAGCCCCAGGGTGACTGTGAGATGGACATCTGGGGGTCCAGGCATTGCCTGGAATTTGAGGAGGGCTGGAAACAACCTCTTCCAGTGTGGAAAATGATGAGAAGAAGGGAACTGGTGGCTCAGTGGGAGGACACACTGCTCCCAGCCCTGCTGCTGATCTATCCAGGCAGAGAGCGATAGCATCTCCAGCAGGAAAACCTTCTCCTTCCAGGGAACAAAGAGGGGAAGGGGAGCTGCGAGGAAGATGTATTTATTCTTCCTTGCTCCTATATCATCCCGCAGGAATGCAGGCCCTTGGCGGGCAGCCCGCGGGGGAGCGCAGCGGGGCCGGGTGTGCACAGCCACCCTGCTCAGGGTATTCCAGGCGGGATGTTGAGGTGGGATGCTGGAGCAGTGGCACAAGGGGCAGCCAAGCTGACCTGGCTCCTCCAAATATAAAAAGGACATACCCACAGTTTGGCAGTGAGGACCTATGTCAGGAGTCCTTGCTTTGCACAGAAAATAAGGAAAATGCCGGCTTCCAAGGTGCATCCTATGGCAGGCTGCCTGCAGCATTCCCAGGAAGAGAGGGACCTGGGGGGTTGGGAGCCCATCCAGACCAGGTCCTGGAGGGGTCAACTCAAGGCATCCCTGCGAGATGGGATTTGTGGTTAAACACCGAGCGCTTCCCAGTTCTAAAAAGCAGGATAGGCACTTCCACCTCCTTTGAGGTGACTTGGAGGCACCAGCACGTGCTTGATGGGATGCTGGAGCTGCAGCCAGCTCTCCCACCCTGCCAAACCTTGACACCCTCTCCTCGCTGTCTGCAGGGTGCTGCCCACCTCGGTCCCAGCCGCGTTCCTGCCGCTGTGTCCGGGCGCGCTGGGTCCGGCCGGCGTGGAGGCGCTGGTCAGCGCCCAGGCGGTGTCGGCCGGCAGCCGCCTGGCCCGGGCAGACGCCGTCCTGCGGGAGAACGAGAGGCTCCAGCGGGAGAGCGAGAAGCTGCGGCGGGAGCTGGAGAGCTGTGCCGAGAAGGCGAGCCGCATCCAGAAGGTGAGGGAATGGTGGCAGCTTCCCGTGTGCCTCCTGCCCGGGGCGATGCTCGACCAGCTGCCGTGAAAATTCACCCCCTTTAGTGATTTAATCCTTTCTCCTCCTCCCTCTGGCGGCTTGTTCCCCTCGGAGCAGCTGCAGCACGGCAGCCGCATTGGGGAGAAGGAGCCCATTCTCCGGTGACCCTCTCCCTCCGCCTGTCCCCCCATCCCAGCCGCCACAGAAAGCCCTTTGTGTGGTCGTCTACAAGGGGCGGCTGTTCCCCGTGGCTGGGCTATGGCAGAGCCAAAATCTGTGGAGAAAATCTTCCATAAGAGAAAAGACTGAAAAAATCAGTTTCCCCCCCAAAACATGTGCTGGGGGTTTGTCAGAGCCCAGGACATCCCCCTGACAGTCCTGGATGATCTGAGCCCCAGCCAGGGGGCTTTGAAGCCCTGGCAGGGGTGTAGGAGACCCTGGCATGCAGCCAAAGACCCCTGCGGCTTTGAGTTCGACCCATGGAACAAATTACCACCTTTGTATGAAGAATTAAAGGTCACAAAAGTTTAGATAACTTAACAGTAGTTGTCATAGGGTAAAAGGTGAAATTTTAAAGAATTTTACTGTGGGGGTCCAGGGGGCAGAATGGAGGGATTTGGGCATTGTCCTGTTCTTCTCCCTTCTCCCTTCTTCTTCCTAGCCTCCATCTTCTTGGTGATGGTGGCACTTTGGGATTGGTGTAGAGTAGAAAGTCACTAACATAGGTGATAGGTATTGGAACATAACTGTAAATATCAAATATGTAGGTTATAGTATAAAAGACAACACCAGCCCAGAGGCGGGCAGCGTGCCTCAGACTGACCTGCAGGACAGATCTCAGCAGGCCAGACAGAAAATATTTTAGATAAGAAATAATAAACAACTTTGAGAATGACAGCCGAAGACTTCTCACTTCTTCTTCAACAGCTGGGTTGGGGAAAAGAGACTTTTTAACACAGCTCGGGATCATCTCAAGCAGAGGAGATCCCGAGAGGGGTCAGCTTGGGGTGCACTGAGCTCCTCAGGCAGCTCAGGTTGAGCTGAGCACCCCGGCTGGGCTTTGGCTGGCATCTCCCTTTCCTCATTCCATGAATATCTAACCCTGGCTTGTCCCTTCCTCCACCCCAGCTGGAGAGTGAGATCCAGCGCATCTCGGAGGATTACGAAAACCTCGTCAAGGCGTCTTCCAAGCGGGAAGCCTTGGAGAAAGCCATGAGGAACAAGAGAGATTGTGAGATGCGACGGCTGCAGGATTTCAACCGAGACCTGAAAGGTGAGGGACCCTCTGTGTCCCCATCCCCGTGGGTGCTCTGTGTCCCCCAGCTGTTTCCATGGGAAACCAGGCTTTTCCCCCTTCCTCCAGCCAAAATCTTGTATTTAAATCTTGCTTGGGTTTGATTGTTTTGGACAGAGCGGTTGGAATCGGCGAACAAGCAGCTGGCCAGCAAGAACCAGGAAAACCAGGAGAGCAACCAGGGCAGCGTGGCCAAACTCCTGGCACAGAGTAAGTCCTGGGGGACACCCATCCTTGCCCGGCTCCCCTGGCATCTGCGAGCAGGGCTCGGCTGGAGGAGGAGGCGGGTGTCGGGCAGCAGCTCTCGCCCTTCCCCGGGGAGGACGGAGCAGTTCTTGGCGCTGGACTCGAGCCATTAATCCCGGCGGCCGGCCGGCGGCGTGACCCGCATTCCCCACATTCCTGCCGCGGCTCCGGCTCTTCCAGCACCAAGCCCGCACTCCCGCCCCACGCCAGCCCGGCCGTTCTCTCCCTCCTCCCTCCTGCACTTCGCAGCCCTGCCAGCCTGGGCTTTTTTGGGAGAGAATGTACTTAAATTTTAGCAGAGAGACGTAATATTGGTGTTAGTAGGAAGAATTGCATCCCCTTCCCTAAGGTGGCTGGATTCACACCAGGCAGGTTTCACCCTTCCTAAGCTAAAATTTGGGCTGGAATTTGGCACGTGGAGGCTTTTGGCCATCTGCCCAAGTGGCTGGAATGCCTCTGACCCCCCATTTGATAGAAGATCTGGAGGAAGGGCTGGCATAGCCAGATGTTGGGAAGCAAAGAATCCCCACTGTGCTTCATGGACCAGCCTTAGGGAAGCCGAATGTCTGAGATTTGTGGGGTTCCCTTGCAGGCTACGAGCACCAGCAGGAGAAGGAGAAGCTGGAGCGGGAGGTGTCCCTGCTGCGCAGCGCCAACGAGGACCAGCGGCGGCGGGCAGAGCTGCTGGAGCAGGCGCTGGGCAGCGCCCAGGCACGGGCGGCCAAGGCAGAGGCCGAGCTCCGGAAGAAACGAGCCTACGTGGAGAAGGTGGAGCGGCTGCAGGCAGCCCTGGGGCAGCTCCAGGCCGCCTGCGAGAAGCGGGAGCAACTGGAGCTGCGGCTCCGCACCCGCCTGGAGCAGGAGCTGAAGATGCTGCGGGCTCAGCAGGTGGGTGCTGGTGAGCCACGGCGGCTCCAGCGAGGCACGGCAGGCGCTGCATCCTGCCAGCGCCTCCTCATCCTCACTGGGGTTTTGTTTTGGCTGCTGCAGAGGCAGGCGGGCACCGCAGGCGGGGGGACGCCGGAGCTGAGCGCCCACACGCTGTCGGAGCAGCTGAGGGAGAGGGAGGAGAAGATCCTGGCGCTGGAGGCCGACATGACCAAGTGGGAGCAGAAGTACCTGGAG